GACATCTGGCTTTCTGGTTTTGAGCTGTTATGACTAAAGCTTTTATGAACGTGCCTTTTGGTGTGAAATATATTCACTCTGTTCGGCATATACCTACGAGTACAACTGTTTGTCTTAGAGTATATATATTTCAGTTTTAGTACATACTGCCAAGGACTTTTCTAAGGTGGTTATAGCACCACCAGCTGTTTATAATACTTGGAAATTATCTCTTTAATTTTAGCCATCCTGGTCACCATTCTGGTCGTTGTGCGGTGGTATCTTAGAATAGATTTAATTTGCATTCCCTTGATAATGAATGACATTGAACACATTTTCATATTGAAAGTCTTCTTTCATGAAGTGTTTCTTCAAGGATCTTTTTTTCCGTTTTTTATTTTGATTGTTTGCTTTCTTGTGGATTTGTAAGAGATCTTTATCTATTCTGGTTATCAGACATTTGTTGGATATGTGCGTTTTAAATGTCTTCTCCCAGACCGTGGTTTATAGTTTTATGTCTTCAGTGAAAGTTCTTAATTTTCTTTTATGGTTAGTGGGTTTTGTTTTTTTTTTGAACCATTTAAGGAGTGTTATTTCAACCTAAGGCCTTGAAGATATTCTCCTGTATTATATTCGGAATTCTTTAATGTGTTGTCTTTCACATTTAGATCTCTCTTGAAATTAATTTTTGCATATGATTTGTGTTAGGGACCATTTTTCTTTTTGTATATATGGATAGCCATTGTTTCAGTTACAATTTACTGAAATGACCACACTTGCCTCATTGCTGTGCTATCTTTAATTATTTTTTATTTTTATTTATTTTTGGCTGTGTTGGGTCTTCATTGCTGCGTGCGAGCTTTCTCTTGTTGCAGTGATCGGGGGCTACTCTTTGTTGTGGTGCGCGGGCTTCTCATTGCGGTGGCTTCTCTTGTTGTGGAGCACGGGCTCTAGGTGCGCGGGCTCAGTAGTTGTGGCTCACAAGCTTAGTTGCTCCGCGGCATGTGGGATCTTCCCGGACCAGGACTCGAACCTGTGTCCCCTGCATTGGCAGGCGGATTCTTAACCACTGCCCCACCAGGGAAGCCCTGCTGTGCTATCTTTAGCATACATCAAATATTCTTATATGTGTGGTTCTGTTTCTAGAGTTTTTTCTATTTCATTGTTCTTTTTGTCTACCAGTGAGCCATGTACTCTAGCTTTACAAGAAATCTGGATGTCTGGTAGATAAAACTTTCTTTGTTTTCTTTAAGAAGTTTTTGGCTTTTCTAAAGTCCTCTGCATTTTCACACATTTTGAATCTGAAGTTTAAAAAACATTGGAATTTGATTGAGATTTAATTGAATAGGTCAGTTTAGTTAGAATTGATATCTTTAGCTACTAAATGTGGTATTTATTTCCTATTTATTTAGGCCTTCTTTAAAAGTCTCCTAAAATGGTTTTATGATCTGATGCAAGAGGCCTTAAATATCTTCATTTGTTCCTAGGTATATTATAAATTTTTTAAAATTTAAATTTAATAAATTTTAACTTTACGTTGATTAAAATTAAAATTTTTAAATTAACCCTCAGTAAAATGTGCTTTTCTTTTTTTGGTGTGTGGTTTCACAGATTTAAACACACATACACATGTGTTTAAACACAGTTGTGAAATCATCACCTCAATCAGGATACAGAACAGTTCCATCTCCCAGAAGAACTGTTGCATTCTATTCCTTTGCGGTCCTTTCTCCCTCCTCACCCAGCCCCAGGCACCCAAGCTCTGCTCTCTGTTCCCATAGTTTTGCCTTTTTGAGAATGTCGCATAAGGGAGCCATGCAGTAGGTAAGTTTTGAGACTGGTTTTTTTTTCTCCCTGCAGGATGCCTTTGAGTCTCATCCAAGTTGTTGCATGTATCAGTGGTTTATTCTCCTTCATTGCTGAATAGTATTCCATTGTATGGATGTACCACAATTTGATTATACATTAATCTGTTGAGGGGTATTTGCATTGTTTCCAGTTTTAGGTGATTTCATTCCATTAGGGTAAACAGCTAGGAATGAGATTGCTGGGTCATTTGGTAAGTGTATGTTTAGCTCCATAAGATATCACCAAACTGTATCTAGAGTGGCTTAACCCACTTTGCTGCCCACCCCCAAAGTGTAAGGATGCTAATTGCTCCATATCCTTAGCAACACGGATTTCTATGTTTTTCAGTCGTTCTGATGGATGTGTAGTGGTGTCTTGGTTTTAGTTTCTATTTTCCTAATGGCTATGTATATGTCTTCAAATGCTTAATTGCCTTTCGATTATCTTCTTTATGAAGTGTCTCTTGAAATCTTTTGCCCATTTTTATAATTGAGAGCTTATCTTATTGAGTTTTGAGACTTTTTCTATATTCTGGGTACAAGTTGTTTGTCAGTGATTTGCAACTATCTTCTCTTGATAGGCCTTTTACAGACAGAGTTTGCTGGTCTTTGATCTTGGTGAATGTTCTGTGTACTTGAAAAGAATGTGTATTCTGTTGTTGGGTGGAGTGTTCTATAAATGTCAATTAGATCTACTTGGGTAATGATATTTAACAGTTCTTTTATATCCTAACTGGTGTTCTGTTTATTTAGTCTTATACCAAGAGAGCAGTATTTAAGTCTCTAACTATAATTTTGGATATATCTTTCTCCCTTTGGTTTTATCTACATATATTTTGAAGATGTTTTGTTAGGTGCATACACATTTGGAATTTTTATGTCCTCTTGGTGAGTTGAGTTTTGTTTTTTATCATCGTTTTTTATCATTGGTGAGTTGAATTTTTTTAAATCATTTTTTATCATTGTGTAATGTTCCTTTTTTATCCTTCAAATTTTTCTTTGCTCTGAAGTCAACCTTGCATGCTCTTACTATAACCACTCCAGCTTTCACTTGATTATCACTCGCAGGGTATATTTTTTTCCTTTCTTTTACTTATTATTTGCTTACATCATTATATATGGCTTAAAGTCTTGACAGCATATAGTTTTTATGTTTTGAAAATCTCTATCTTTTAATTGATGATTTATACCATTTATATTTCAGATATTTATCAATATGCTTGGATTTGGGTCTATCATTTTATTGTTTCGTTTTCTGAATGTTCACTTTCTTTCATTCTTCTCTTTCCCCTTTCCTGTCTTTTCAATTATTTGAATACATTTTAGTGTTACGTTTTAGTTTATCTTTTTTCTTTTTAGTTATTATTTTATCCCCTTGTACAGGGGTTTGGTTATTTGGGGTTTGTTTGGTTGGTTGGTTGGTTTTTTGCCTTTTTTTGGTTGCTATAGGCATTTCAGTATACAAAACTTTTAATCTACTTAGAATCAATATTTTATCCCTTTAAATGGAATGTAGAAAACTTACAACTATCTAGGTCCCTTTGCTCCCCCCACTTTTATGTTTTAGCGGTCTTATTTATTAAACCTACATACAAATAAAATCACATCAGGCAATGTTATACGTTTTGCTTTCAATGATAATAAATATTTTAAAGAGTACATGAGAATAATATCCTGTTAATGCAGATATTTTTCATTTCTGTTGCTGTGCTTTTTTTTTTATAGTACGCTTTTTGCAATTTATGAACATTGTAATTAACTAAAGTCCTTAGTTTCCATAGGTTTCACTCTTTATGTGGTATAGTTGTGCTTTGACAAAAATCCTGCCCTAAAAATCCTTTCTGCTTTACGTATTCATCTCTTATCCCTCTGCAAAATCCTGGGCAACCATTGATCTTTTTACTGTCTCTATACTTTTGCTTTTTCCAGGATGTCCTATAATTTGAACTCATCAATATGTAGCCTTTTCAGATAGGTTCTCTCACTTCACAATATGCATTTAAGTTTCTTTTATGTCTTTTCCTGCCTTGATAGTTTGTTTCTTTTTATTGCTGAATAACATTCTATCATATTGATGTACCACAGTCGTTTTTATCCTTTCACCTATTGAAGGACGTATTGGTTGCTTCTAATTTGGGGCCATTATGAATAAAGGTGCTATAAACACCTGTGTGCAGGTTTTTCTGTGGACTTGGTTTTCAGCTTCTTTGGGTAGGTACCTAGGAATGGGATTGCTTGATCATATGACAAAACTATATTTAGGTTTGTGAGAAACTGCCAAACTGTCTTCCAAATTGGCTGTACCATTTTGCATTCCCACCAGCAATGAGTGACAGTTCCTGTTGCTCCACTTCCTGGCCAGCATTTGGTGTTGTCACTGTTTTAGACTTTACCATTAAAATAGATGTGTATAGGCCTCACATTGCTGTTTCAATTTGCAATTCCCTAGTGCATTTGATGTTAAGCATCTTTTCATATGCCATTTACAATCTGTATACCTTCTTTGGTGAAGCATTCAGATATTTTCCCCATTTTAAAATTCTTATTGCCAATTTTTGAATTCTTTATTGTTGAGTTTTAAGGGTTCTTTGTATAACTGGATACAAACCCTTTATCAGATTTATATTTTATAAATATTTCCTCCTAGTTTATGGCTTATCTTTTTGTTCTGTTAACAGAGTCTTTCACAGGGCAGATTTTTTTTTTTTTGATTTTAATAAACTCTGACATCAATTTTTTTTCTTTCATGGATTATACTTTTGACATTATATCTAAAAAGCCATTGCCAAACCCAAAGTTACTTAGATATTCTATTGTTATCTCTCAGAAGTTCTATAGTTTTGGATTTTACATTCAGATCTATGATCTATTTGAGTTAATTTTTGTGAAAGGTTAAGAGTTAGTGCTTGACTCACTTTTCTTTCATATGGATGTCTACTTCTTCCAGTACCACTTGTTGACAAAGCTATCTTTTTTTTTTGTTTTTTTTTTTTTACAGTATGTGGGCCTCTCACTGCTGTGGCCTCTCCCATTGCGGAGCACAGGCTCCGGACGCGCAGGCTCAGCGGCCATGGCTCGCGGGCCCAGCCGCTCCGCTGCATGTGGGATCCTCCCGGACCGGGGCACGAACCCGTGTCCCCTGCATTGGCAGGCAGAATCTCAACCACTGCACCACCAGGGAAGCCCGACAAAACTATCTTTTATCCATTCAGTTGTGTTGTTTGTTTATCAAACATCAGTTGACTATGTTGCATGGGTCTATTTCTGGGCTCCTTATTCTGTTCCATTGATCTATTTTTCTATTATTTTGCCAGTATCACACTGTCTCAATTACTGTGGCTTTATAATAACTTTTGAAGTTGGATGATGTTAGTCCTCCAACTTTGTTTTTCTTCACTATTGTATTTGCTATTCTGGGTATTTTGCGTCACCTTATGTACTTTAGAAGCAGTCTGCCAGTGTCCACAAAGTAACTGGATGAGATTTTGATTGAGACGACATTGAATTGATAGATCCAGGTGGGAAGAACTGGCATCTTAACAAAATCCAGCCTTCCTATCTATGAATATGATATATCTCTATTTATTTAGATATTCTGTGTTATCTTTCAGCACAGTTTTGTAGCTCTGACAGATCTTGTGCATATTTTGTTAGATATATTCTTAAGTATTTCTCTTTTTTTTGCTAATAATGTTAATGTTTCCATATTCTACAAATTTGCTATAATTGCTTATTCCAGGAGGGTTTTTTTGTCATTTCTTTGAATTTTCTACATAAATGATCATGTCATCTATGAACAAAAAAAGGGTTTATTTCTTCTCTGTCTGCATAGCTTTTATGTCCTTTTCTTATTGCATTAGGCAGGACCTCTAGTAGATGCTAAATAGGCTTGGTGAGAGGATATATCCTTGTATTATTCCTGGTCTAAGAGGGAAAGCATTTAGTTTCTCACTGTTAAATCTGATGATAGCTGTAGGTTTGTGTAAATGTTCTTATTATACTGAGGAGGTTCCCCTCTACTCTTAGTCTGTTGAGAAATTTCTTTCTCTTTTTTTCCCCAGTCATTTTTTTTCTTTCTTGTTCAGCCTAGAGAATTTGTATTGATCTCCAAGTTCATTGATTCTTCTGTCATCTCCATTCAGCTACTGAGCCATGCCAGTGAGGTTTTTTGTCGCTGTTGTCTTGGTTATTGTGTTTTCAGTTCTAATATTCCCATTTGGTTCTTAGTTGTATCTTTGATGGTTTTTTTCTGAGACTTTTAATCCTTCCATTAGTCCCCGCCACATCTTAGCAATATTTGGAGTGTTTTGGACAAAGGAATGGTCTTATTGCGAGAAGAACGTCCAGAGCTTGATGACCAGTAGCCAGGATCCGCTTGAGACTTTGTAGCTCACGTGTTGCTGGGATAACTAAGGAGTTAGGGAATGTGGGGTGGTTGGGAAGGAAGCAAGAGGAAAAAGCTTTATTACTTCTCAAGTCTTTCCAGAATCCTACTTTTTAACCATGTATCTATAATTCCTAAATTTTATTCTTAATGAAAATACTGACTCAGAGAGTGCTGTGACTCAGTGATATTTCTCAAAATCCTGTGTTGATGTTACCAGGCCTGTAACACAGGGTCCCTCCTATAAACAGTTTTCAATCATTATAAGATAGCTTAGCAACCTTGATAAAAGGGGAAAATATAAGATCCAGAGATACATTCATAGGAAATTACTTAGAATCAATAGATAGCAGAATATTACTATAGTTTCATTTTAAATCTTCTAATATATTATTCTAATATAGCATAAACTTGTTTATATTTCTTATGTCTCCTGAATACAAATGCCATATAAATATCATTAGTTTGGATTGGCTACAGTTGTATCAACACAGAAACTAAACTATAAACAAAAGAGAGAAGTATCTTCTTTAAAAATATATTGCTTTTAAAATTAATGTCTTTGTTTTTAAGCAAAATGTTAGAAACGTTAATACTTTCAAGGGTGTTAAGTATAGAAAGATGTGTCTATTTTACTTTGTGTCCTTTCTTACCTTTTTCAGAGATATTGGAGAAGATATTCCACTAGAAAACAGTTTCTGAAGCTGAAATATTATTCAATCATCCTGCAATCTAGGATAAGAATGATCATTGCTGTTGCTTCTTACAAACGATACCTTTGGGCTGCAGTTACAATTCAGAGGCATTGGCGTGCTTGTTTAAGAAGAAAGCAGGATCAACAGAGATATGAAATGCTAAGATCATCAACCCTTATAATCCAGTCTGCGTTCAGAAGATGGAGGCAACGTAAAATGCAGCTACAAACAGAAGCTGCAATAACACTGCAAAGAGCTTTTAGAGAACGGTGTGTCAGGAAACAGGTTAAAGAAGAGAAAGCTGCCATGGTCATACAATCCTGGTACAGGATGCAGAGAGAATTACGGAAATACATTCATATTAGATCTTGTGTTGTCATCATTCAGACAAGATTTCGGTGCTTTCAAGCCCAAAAGTTATATAAAAGGAAAAAAGAGTCTATCCTCTCTCTCCAGAAGTACTACAAAGCATATCTGAAAGGAAAGGTTGAGCGCACCAGCTATTTGCAGAAACGGGCTGCAGCCATCCGACTACAGGCCGCTTTCAGGGGAATGAAAGCTCGTAATTTACGCAAACAGATCACCGCTGCTTGTGTCTTTCAGTCATACTGGAGAATGAGACAGGACAGACTTCGATTTCTAAACCTTAAGAAAAATATTATCAGATTGCAGGCACACATAAGGAAGCATCAACAACTACAGAAATATAAGAAGATGAAGAAAGCTGCCCTTGTAATTCAGATTCATTTTCGAGCTTACATTTCAGCCAAGAAAGTTCTAGCTTCTTACCAGAAGACACGATCTGCTGTCATTGTTCTGCAGTCTGCATTTAGAGGGGTGCAGGCCAGGAAAAAGTTTATTCACATCCTCACATCTGTTATAAGGATTCAATCATATTACAGGGCTTATGTTTCCAGAAAAAAATTTCTGAGGCTAAAAAATGCTGCAGTGAAGTTACAATCCATTGTCAAGATGAAGCAAACTCGTAAACAATATTTACATTTAAGAGCAGCTGCACTAAAGAGAGAAGAACACATGCGGGTATCTTGCATCAAACTGCAAGCTTTTGTCAGAGGGTACCTGGTTCGAAAGCAAGTGAGGTTGCAGAGAAAAGCTGCTGTTTCACTACAGTCTCATTTCAGGATGAGAAAGATGCGCCTGTACTACCTGAAAATCTATAAAGCAGCTGTTGTCATTCAGAGTTACTATCGTGCATACAAAGCGCAGGTCAATCAGAGGAAGAACTTCTTGCAAGTCAAAAGAGCAGTTATCTGCTTGCAGGCCACTTACAGAGGTTATAAGGTACGCCAGCTAATCAAACAACAATCTACAGCTGCTCTTAAAATTCAAACTGCTTTTAGAGGCTACAGTAAGAGGATGAAATATCAATCTGTGCTTCAGTCTACTCTCAAGATTCAGAGATGGTACAGGACACACAAGACTGCTTCTGACATAAGAACACATTTTTTAAAGACAAGGGCAGCTGTGATTTCTCTACAGTCCGCTTACCGTGGCTGGAAAGTTCGGAAGCAGATCAGAAGGGAACATCAGGCTGCAGTGAAGATTCAGTCTGCTTTCAGAATGGCCAAGGCCCAGAAAGAGTTCGGGTTGTTAAAAACGGCAGCATCCGTCATCCAGCAACATCTGAGAGCGCGGGCTGCAGGGAGGAGGGAACGGTTGGAGTACACTGCGCTCCGCCTTGCAGCAGTGATGCTCCAGTCCACATGGAGGGGCAGAGCAGCGAGAAGACAGGTTCAGAAGCAACACAAATGTGCTGTCCTCATACAGTCGTGCTACCGAATGTACGTGCAGCGAAAGAAGTGGAAAATCATGAAAAAAGCGGCTTGTCTGATTCAAATATACTATCGGGCTTACAATACTGGGAGAAAACAGCATCATTTGTATTTGAAAACCAAAGCAGCAGTAGTAATCCTACAGTCAGCTTACCGAGGTATGAGAGTGCGGAAAAAAATAAAGGAGCATCACAAGGCGGCAGCCGCTATACAATCTAGTTACAGAGTTTACCAAACCAAAAAGAAGTACGCCACCTACAGAGCGTCAGCTGTTATAATTCAGAGGTGGTATCGAGTTACTAAAATTGCAGACCGTCAGCGTAAGGAATATCTTACTTTAAAGAAGGCGGCTGTGAAAATCCAAGCTGTTTATAGAGGTGTTACAGTAAGAAGACAGACTCAGCACCTGCACGCAGCAGCCACTCTTATTAAAGCCGTGTTTAAAATGCAGCAATCAAGGAGGCGATATCATCAAATGAGAACAGCAGCCATCATAATTCAGGTAAGGTACAGAGCATATCATCAGGGTAGAACTCAACGTGCAAAGTACCTGACAACTTTGAAAGCTGTTACCATTCTCCAGGCCAGTTTCAGAGGAGGACGAGTTAGACAGACCCTGAGAAGGATGCAGACCGCAGCAACACTCATCCAGTCCCACTACAGAAGACACAGACAACAAGCTTATTTTAATAAGTTGAAGAAGGTGACAAGATTGGTGCAGCAAAAGTACCGGGCAGTGAGGGAAAGGAACATACAATTTCAAAGGTATAACAAACTGAGACGTTCCGTAATCTGCATTCAGGCTGCTTTTAGGGGGATGGAAGCTAGAAGACACTTAAAAGTCATGCACTCAGCCGCGGCTATGATTCAGAGGAGATTTAGGACTCTGATGATGAGAAGGAGATTCCTGTCTCTCAGGAATACCGCTGTGTGGATTCAGAGAAAATATCGTGCAAATGTTTGCGCAAAGCATCGCTTACAACAGTTACTACGGTTACAAAAGGCAGCCCTCAAAATCCAGTCCTGGTACAGAGGGTGGGTGGTGAGGAAGAAGGTGCAAGAGATGCACCGGGCTGCTACCGTTCTCCAGGCGGCTTTCAGAAGGCACCGTGCACATGTGAGATACCAGGCCTGGAGGCACGCCTCGCAGGTCATCCAGCAGCAATACCGGGCAAGCAGGGCCAAACTGCTGCAGAGGCAGCTCTACCTCCAGCAAAGACACTCTGCTGTGGTCCTCCAGGCTGCATTCAGGGGTATGCAAACCAGAAGACATTTGAAAAGGATGCATGCCTCTGCAACCCTGATTCAGAGCAGGTTTAGATCTTTAGTGATGAGGAGAAGGTTCCTTTCCCTCAAGAAAGCAGCTATTTTTGTTCAGAGGAAATATCGAGCCACCATTTGTGCCAAACATCACTTGCACCAATTCTTGGAGTTACAGAAGGCAGTCTTTACAATCCAGCCATCTTACCGAAGGCTGATGGCAAAGAAGAAGTTACAGGAGATGCACAGGGCCGCAGCCCTCATCCAGGCAACTTTCAGAATGCACAGAACACACCTTGCCTTTCAGACCTGGAAACACGCCTCGATTCTCATTCAGCAACATTACCGAGCATACAGAGCCGCAAAATTGCAAAGAGAGCATTATGTCCAACAAAGGCATTCTGCAGTGGTCATTCAGGCTGCCTATAAGGGGATGAAAGCAAGACAGCTTTTAAGGGAAAAGCACAGAGCTGCTGTCATAATACAAAGCACATACAGAATGTACAGGCAGTATTTTTTCTACCGAAAGCTTCAGTGGGCTACAAAAGTAATACAAGAAAGATATAGAGCCAATAAAAAGAAAGCTCTTCAACACAATGCACTCAAGAAAGCAGCAACCTGTGTCCAAGCAGACTTTCAGCATATGATTATAAGGAGAGAGATTCAGGAAAAGCAGCATCAGGCTGCCATTACTCTTCAGAAGCATTTTAGAGCCTTTAAAACAAGGAAGCACCATCTCCACTTTAGAGCAAAGGTAGTTTTTGTTCAAAGAAGGTACAGAACACTAGTTGCAGTGCAAACCCAGGCAGTCATTTGTATACAGTCTTACTACAGAGGCTTTAAGGCACGAAGGGGTATCCAACTCATGCACCTGGCTGCCACCCGAATTCAGTCATTCTACCGAATGTACAGGGCCAGAGTGGATTATCAGGCAAAGAGAATGGCAATTGTTGTTATACAGAATTATTACAGGTCATACGCCAGAGTTAAAATGGAAAGAAAAACATTTTTAGCCATTCAGAAATCTGTAAGGCCTATTCAGGCTGCTTTTAGCGGCATGAAAGTTAGACAGAAATTTAAAAACATGCCCGAAGAAAAAATGGCAGTCCCTGCTACCCAATCTGCATTCTGCTGTCACAGAACTGAAACTCAGTATGAAGCTGGCCAAAGCCCAGCACTTACGGTTCAAAGGCGGTGTAAAGCTTCTCTGGTTGGTCCCTTACAGGAAGCAGGGTATCATTCTGAAAGAAAGGCTGCAGTAACAATTCAAAAAGCTTTTCGTAAAATGGTCACAAGAAGATTGGAAAAGCACAAGCGTGCTGCCGTGCGAATTCAGTCCTTCCTCCAGATGGCTGTGTATCGAAGAAGATTCATTCAGCAGAAAAGGGCGGCTATCACTTTACAGCGGTATTTCAGGAAAAGGCAAACCAGAAAACAGTTTTCATTGTATGGAGAAGCAGCAGTCGTTTTACAAAATCACCACAGAGCCTTTTTGTCTGCAAAACATCAAAGAGAAGTTTATTTACAAATAAGAAGCAGTGTTATCGTTATTCAAGCTAGAATGGAAGGATTTATACAGAAACGGAAGTTTCAGAAAATTAAAGATAGCACCATAAAAATCCAGGTATTTATATATTGAAATATAAAGCTTTCATTCTTTCTTTGACCAGTATTTCTTAGAATTTATAAAATGAGCTTAAGCAGGTTGTAAAGATTAATACTTAGTTTACGTGGCCTTTTCATTTACCTTCCAAAATGGAACATTTTTGAGGTTGGGCAAAGGGTGCCAAAAATAATTCACCGAAGACGGCACAGAACTGGGATTGTTCTGAGTGTGACACCCTAAGCTTGTTGCAACTATGGTTGCACAGTTAAAAGCAGAGACCTTGAGACCATCAGGTTGCAGCTGGCAGCTGTGAGCAGATATTGTTTTAGAGAACAGCTGGTGGTGTCCTTGAGTCTGATACAGTTCAAGTTCTCAGTGATGTAGGAACATGTCTGAAACCACATCCACAATGGCCACCCGGCTCCACTGTGGATGCCTGAACCACAGTTAATCCATTTTGATTTTTAAATGCATTCTTTTCTTTAATGGTTAAAGCAGATACACAGTATATGTTTAATAGGCCACAAAAGAGGCTGTTCTAGTTAACATAAAGTTCAAATTAAATCCTGTATTAGCCAGAATGACTTGCCCATACCTCAGTGTATGGAAATTTCTTCATGATAATACAGAATGAGAAGTGTATGTTGCTGGGAATGCAGAGAAGAGAAACCTAAGCTAGTCCCAGTGATTTAAGTTGAGATGTTAAGCTGAAGGATGAACTGGAAACAGCCAAGTAAAATGTATGGAAGGAGTATTCCAGCTGTAGGAGGTAACACCCAGAGTTCAAAAATGAGAGAGAACAGGTGTGCAATAAAGGGTGACCTGCGACCAGGATGCGATCCATGGAGCGAGATGTGGGCAGCTGTGTAAGACAGAAAAAGTTTAGTCTTCATCCTCTGGACTAAAAGAAGTTCTAGAGGAGTTCAACTAGGAGAAGACCAGAATCATAGTTTATTTTTTAAAAAATTACTCAGATGGGATTTCCCTGGCGGTCCAGTGGTTAACTCAGCCCTTTCACTGCCATGGCCCGGGTTTAATCCCTGGTCACAGAACTAAGATCCCCCAAGCCATGTGGTGCAACCGAAAAAAAAAAAAAAAATTACTCAGGCAGGGATGTGGAAGATGGACTGAACTGGATGCCGGGCGGCTAGCCAGGAGACTGCAGGCAGTAGGTCAGGGAAAGTGAACCACCGTTTGACAGCAGGGTTGTCAGGGTCAGTGTGAGTGGAGGATGGGATTGCCCTTGTATAGAGCGCAAACAAGGAGCCAAGCCATCTTTATGGCTGAGGTGACTCAGCAGATTGCACCCTTCACTGACGTGGGAACAACGGGAGGAGCAGGTCTGGAGCCCGATGAGCTCGGCCTGGGGTACGTGAAGCTGACGTGACCACCACACGTCCAGCGGGGCAGCTGCTATGTTTGTTGTAATTTGGACAGCAGTACGGATTTTGGAATTTGACTTCTACGTTGTTGGCATACACTGATAACTGAACTTGTGGGAGATAGGGGATCACTTAGGGAGAATGCATGAAGTGAGCAAAAGAAGAGGGCCCAGGACTGGAGCCCTAAAGAGCATCAAAATTCAGGGGTGCTGAGAGGAGAAGCCAACACAGGGTATTAAAAGGGAAAGAAGAAAGCTAAAGATTGTGGTATAAAGAAACCAAGGGTTGAGGGAGGAGGGAAGGAGCACTCAAGTTCCAGACGCTGCCAGGAGTCAAGGACTGGTGGGTTTGTCAAGCGCGTGTGTTAGTTGGGGTTATGTTAGAAAAGCCAAAATAACAATCTTAGGAAAATTCAACTGTTATTTCTTTCTCTTCTTTTTTCTTTTTAGTAATTAGTTGTTTTTTTGGGCGTTTTTAAAAATTATTTATTTTTGGCTACATTGGGTCTTTGTTGTTGCACAGGGGCTTTCTCTAGTTGCTGCGAGCAGGGGCTACTCTTCATTGCGGTGCGCGGGCTTCTCATTGTGCTGGCTTCTCTTGTTGCAGAGCACAGGCTCTAGGCGTGCGGGCTTCAGTACCTGTGGCTCGCGGGCTCAGTAGTTGTGGCTTGTGGGCTCTAGAGCGCAGGCTCAGTAGCTGTGGCGCACGGGCTTAGTTGCTCCGTGGCATGTGGGATCTTCCCGGACCAGGGCTCGAACCCATGTCCCCTGCATTGGCAGGTGGATTCTTAACCACTGCACCACCAGGGAAGCCCTGTTTTTTCTTTTATATAACTAAATTATAGAAGTGCATGTTGCACATCTAGTTTTTAACACATACCAACCAGTGGTCTTAAACTTTAGCACACATTGGAATCACTTTGGAATCTTTAAAAGTACTGATACCTGGCTTCCACTATGAATACTACTATGTTGGTATTCGGTTTTGTTTACATAAAAACCATATAGAAATACTCTGAGTTAAGGACATCACAAGAGTTCAGTTTGACCATATGTATCATTCTCGCCTGTCAACTGAATTTAGAGCCTGATCCCCATGTTAGGTGGAGCTATTGTATTTGCCGTAGGTGTTTTGAGGTCAGATAGACTCAGGTTCAAATCTTGACTCTATCACTTAATGGCTATGTGGTAACAAGTCTCTTGACGTTAATTTCTGTTTTGTATAGAGATCTTAATAATCATCTCACAAGATATTTATAAGGATTAAATGAGATATGTCTGTCACTTATTACCTGTGACATCAACAAGTAATTTTACTGGTGTCAGTTCCTCTGGGCCTTCATTGTTTTCATCTCTAAATTAGAGATAATAGTATTACCTACCTATGTTACTGTAAAGAATTATAGTGCTTAGTATAGCGCTAAGCACTTAAGAAGTTGTAGCTGTTACTTAAGCTTTTAGTCAGCCGCAAGGTTGCCAAAGTCGGAAAATCTGGTGGTCCTCACGTAGATGGATGCCCTCAGGATTCTGCAACAGGATGGACCCAGAAGCCAGGATGTGTCTGCAGTGGGTGGGGAGGGCAGTGGGAAGAATTCCCGTCCCTTCCCTGGAATTGGAGGCATCAGTGTGTTCATTTCCTTTCGTTCCTTCACATGGACTGAGAAGGTGAGGGCAGTGCACACACCTGGCTTCCCAGGCTTTGCGTGCATCTTACAATTTAAATACTTTTCAGGGTTGTATTGGGCTTAGCCAGCAGCCAGCCGCAGGGTATGTGCTGAAGCAGGTAGTAGGAGGTCACAGGTCAGCCCGCTGTTCTCAGAGGGCTCACGTGTCCGGAGTGAGCGAGTCCCACAGTGGAGCTGGGGTGTGACTGCATTTCTGCAGTTGATCCTGTCTGCTTGACCTTATATTAACTGTTATCAATACTGAGTCTTCCAGTTTACAAAAAAAAATTAGACATCTCATTGCATATTTGTTATGTTTATATGTTTAATAGACTGCGTGGAGGAGACATAAAGCCAGGAAATATTTACGTGAAGTGAAAGCTGCCTGCAAGATTCAAGCCTGGTACAGGTGTTGGAAAGCACGTAAAGAGTATCTGGCTGTGTTAAGAGCTGTTAGAACCATTCAGGGTTGCTTCTGTACCAAACTGCAGAGAAGACGGTAAATGTGTCAGCTGCGTGGGCGAGAGCGTGTGTGTGTGGGGGGGGCGGTGCACGCACGCGCACATGTGCCGTAACCAAGTCCGTGTGTCAAGTAATACTGCTTGTTGGGTTTTCTTTTAAATAGTTGCTATGCTTAATTTGTATGGTTTGCTGGTGTTTCCTGCAATAATGTAACAAAATTATCTCTGAGACTCTTATTTTTTGAGATACAGCCTTGATGGTATAATCCAGGAGAAAATATTAAAC